GAGACTATTTAAGACCCATTGTTCACATTGCCATTCAAAATTAGCAAGAAAACATTCAGTTGAATGAATTATTTATAATAAGAATTAAGAAATATATAAAGTATATATAGGTATATATATATTCCCAAGGATTACTCACTAATATCTGATGTAAACAAATTCTTTGCGAGCTCCAAAGTTCTACAACTTCTTAAACAATCGCGCAACAAATCCAAAAACTTCTCCAACGACGTTTTCCAACACTAAACAATGACAATTTCATCCATATTCAGCTATTGCATGCAGTTGCTCTGACAAATTTTCTAATATTCTAGGATATTTTCCAGCACTCAAAAAAGCCAAATTTCATTTTTAAGCTTTTCTGGTTGCGCAGTAAATCCTGCTTTGGCAATAAATTGAATGCAACATTGCCAAAAACATCTGCATTAAAATATTAAAAACGCAATTTATAGTGTACGCTATATGTTTTGGGAGCTTCTTATTGATTTGTGTGGAAGCGGGAGGAGCAGAGCTCACTTCTCGACTGGAAAACACACCTGTGAATACGTGACCTTTCAATTTATGCGGGCAGCGAACCAAATCGAAAACATTTTTTATGTTCCTCCCATCAAATTTATGACCACTTGCTGAGCCTACACAGCTGCACACATGTGCGCCTCCTGGCCGCCACCAGCCCTCATTCATGCCAGATTCGATTTTCCCGGTTTGCCTGCAGCATTTTCAAAAATTTGTCTGACAAATATTTGCCTGCCAGGGCAAGCGCTGGCCATAAAGCGTTTTTCAAAACGGAAAAATAAAAATAGAAATGCTGTCATGGTCAGCGAGTTGAAAAGCGCCGTTAGAGTGAACAGCTTGATATAGCTGAAATTATGGCAAGTTTGCCGAAGCAGAAGCTAAATTTTCGCTTACAATTCTCAATTGGTTTTTGGTCACGCTAAACTAGTTTGCTTCAAATTGACATTTGGTATGGCCCAGTTGACTAGTTGTGGCCTGGCTGCGTTAGTTCGAGTCACAAATCACAGTCACATAGCTGGCTTAACTGCCCAACACACACATACGCACCCACACACTCACGCACATCACAGCTTTATCATACATCTGCCAGTCACACACCACATATGCGTCCGTCTCTCTCTCTGTGTGTGCACACTCATTCAAATTTATGCCTAAGCGCTGATTATGACAAATATGCCACGCTTCACTGGCTGCGACTCGCTGTCAGGTTTTGGTGGGGGCCTACGACCCAAAAAGTCGACCCCTTAAAGCGCTTATTGTGTTTCGCTTGGCCTGTTTTTTGCCTTCTGCTCGGTCATTTTACGCAAATCCCAAAATAAATACAAGTCCTTATTATTAGCATCAGTATACGCACACACACACGTACTCACACACGCCAACGCAGCCGAGCCCCAAATAAATAAAATAAACCAAAAGGCAGCAGGTCTCCCATGCTTTCCCAGTAATGACACATCAGCTGGAGTGAGCCGCTACTTCTTCTTCTTCTCGTTCTCTGGGCATCCCTCAACATGCGAGGCGATGCGTGTCAACAATTATAATGTGCAAATTGTTTGATGTATGTCACCTGCCACATTTGCTTTATTGCCGCTCATTAGAAATGCTCAGCCATCAGCTTTGCCAAGGCAGACAAATAGAGAGAAGAAAAAAAATAAATACAAATACAAATAAAAATACAAAATACGAACCCAAACACACACACACTCACACACCCAGCCACACCCACAGACGTATCAACAACGACTGACAACAATGACACCTTCCATTAATAGCTGTTCCGTTGATGTGTGTAATACTGACATACACTGTGAGAAAAGAGGAGTTAACAAAATTATGGAAAATATTTAAATAAATAAGCAATTAAGTCAAATATGTTAATGGTGTATATATGAAACAAATATAAAATGTTAAACATTTTTAAGAAACACTCTTAAAAGTAGGCTATAAATTTTGTTATTATCACTAGTCTTTGGCATATTTAAATACTTGAAATCTCAGATTACAAATTACAATTGATAACTAATTAAAAATTAAATGATCTTAAAACAAAATTTATTTTTTTCTTGGAATAAAGTTGAATTTTTTAAAATGATTATAACAAAAAATACAAAAGTAAACAACAAATCAATTGATATTTTTTTTATTTGCATATTGAATTATTATTATTGTTATTCAGTCTGATTGAAACTCATTAACAATAAAAATATATGAATATAGTACAAGTTTCTTATACTAAAATCATATAAACTCTCAATTGGCTTATATACTGAGCGCAAAATATATGATTTGAAAAAATATAAATAAATAAAAAATTAAACAATACTAAAAAAGAAATAAACTAAATAAAAAGTATTTTATTGAAATAAAATAATTTCAAGTTCATATTTTTTAATTTGATTCATATAGTTAATTCAATTAATTTAAAGTCTGGGAAGTCTCAATATGTAACCCTGCTCTAGAAAGGCGATAAAAATAATATAATATAATAATAAAATAATAAAACAAAATAATATAATAATAATGCAAAATTTGCATAAATAAAAAGTGATTTTAATATTATAATTAGCAATATAAAACAAGTATAATAAGCAGACTAAGGCTTCAGCTTCTATAAGTGTTTATAAACCGAACACATTAAGCAGATTTTCCTTAACATTATTCGAGCGACTTCTCTAGCAATTCCAGTGCATTTCTGGACAGCAAGAAGAAGTCTTTTAGCTTAACAAATTTTTGGCTTAAATACAAATTCGCTTGCTCCACTGTCTGCCTCTCTGTCTCATAGAGGTTTTAGCTGCGATTAATGACAGCGCATCACAATGATTTTGTCTGAATGCGAGCATAACACGGTATAAAATGGACGGAGTCAACTAGCTGTGACATTTTGATGAATGGAAACAGAATTCAGATGTGTTGTGTGTAGGTTGTGTGTGTGCTGTGCCGGAAAGAATAACCAAATAGCAATTTGGACACATGATTTTGCTTACAAATTGTTTTGGCTGGACAATTGTTGCGATATTTCAGTAATTTGTTGACTCTTGTCGTGTGGCTCTTGTGGAGTGGGCCCAAATATAACGTAGACGCATTTGCTGGCCATGAAACCAATCAGCGAGCTTAGCCGAATGATGAAAACCAAAAAATATAACAAACAGCCCATGGTTGCCAGCAACAATGGCATCCATAACTAAGCTCGGCTCTAAAAACCCAACAAAAGCAAGCAGAACAAACGAAGCAAACAGAACAAACAAACAAACAGTGCGAAACACGCCTGCTGTTGAGCATCAACGACTGCATAATACTCGTTCACTGAATGAATTCTGTTTTTCTACATCAAATTTATATGATATTTGCAGATTTATTTGCTGAAGAGTTGAAAACGTTTCCGTACTTCCCCATTCCTGACAACTAATGTAGGCATGGTTACATAATTTTAGATCTATTTGTAGAGAGCCTTAACAGTGATTCAAGCTCTAAGCTCTCTTAAATTGTGCGTATAGTTTTCTAATGAGTCTATATAAAATTGTAATTCTGCAGCTTAATTATATTAGAGATTAACTTCCAATGTGGCCAAAGAATAAATATTCCAAATTTCAGCTGTCTAGCTTCCAACTGTACACAAAAGCCAATATACTTCCTTTGCTCACTTATACTGAGCGAGTATTGAAAAAGGGGGGCAAAAGGATTATTTTTGATGATTTTGCGTGCCACAAAAACAAATTTGTAGCTTTTTTTACTGTTGTTGTTGTCTTCTCTTCTTTTTTTGGCTATTGTTAGTGCTCGGCCTGGCCATGGAGAGCAAAGCCAGATAACATTTAAACCGACTTTCTGGCTAAATATAAAAAAGGAAATAACGATGTATAGCGCTTTTTAATGGAGCTGGTAACAAGCGAAATGAATGAGCCGCAATCGGACTGCTCTTCATTTCAATGAACCGCCTTTCAAACGTAATTTCATTCCAGACCCACGCATTATCTGCGTCTGCCTTTGATGCCCTCTAAATAATGTTCTTATCAAAGGGTCGTTGCTATCTTAAGTGTTGTTCATCATTTTTTTGAAGGTTACGCAAAGTGATGCCATCAACTTAATTAATTGTACTTGGAAAAAACGAATCAAATGTTGACTACTGCACTAAAACAGTTGGATGTTGGACAGACTGAGCTGAGTAATTGTATACACAAGACATGAACTAAAATGGTATATAATATATTTATTATATAATATATTTATAAGCTTGAAATATACAAAAATTAGAGCTTGAATTGAAGAAACAAATTTAACGTTTTTATTTATATATATATAAATACGTTAAATATAAATATATATATATATATATATATATATATATATATATATATATATATATATATATATAAGCAGCTTATCAGCTTCTATAATAAAAACTTATCGCCATCGAAATTTCTTGTCCACAGTAATAAATTGACAAGCTTTCAAAGCTCATTAAAGCTATAGTCATGTATATAATAAGGAATAAATTATGCTAAGCACTTTGAGCTCTTTCTAAACTTTAAGGTTGAGCTTAAGCGTACATATTTGAAGTCTTCCTACACTTTACTGACACAATGTATATAGTTATACAGAAATTAGATTTCTTCTAATATAAATCAAAGGTTTTGATCCACACATAATAGAAAAAAGCCCCCGTACAGGGTATCTCTCAGTTGTCTTAATCTTGTTTCACTTCAGCTACAGAAGAGCTGAAAGCCAGCCAAGTAATATGAATAACAAAAAGTCCTTATGCGTGTCGACTCAGGCGGTAAGAAATAACAATAGCAACAACAGCAACAGCAACAAATACAAGCAGAAGAAGAAGCAGAAAATGCTCAGCATGTGCATTAAACAAATCTAAGACAACATTTCATGGGGCATTCATGAAACTTGTTTATTTTGGCTCAATATGCTAAGGCGCTCTAACCCACCTCATTCACTCACACTCACACTCACTCTCTTTCTCTTTCCATTTCATCCTTTAGACTTACAATCCTTGTGGCTAACGAGCTGGTTTGGCTCCTCCAACAACAACAACAGCAGTAGCAATAGGAGCAACAAGAAAAAGACGCAACAGCAACAACAGCGACGAGACGGCTTCGACAACGTCGATGCTGGCGTTTACACGCTACAGCAGCCGCATAAATTTCCGCTTCAATTGGACGTGTACGGCGGTAATTGCAGCTTTGATTACCAGCAACACGAGCTGCCATCCGGACATTACCAGCAACAACAACAACAACAACAGCAACAAGAGCAATCAACACTTTTCGTACAACAGCAAAAGCAGCTGAAAAACCGGCACAAAAGCCAGCGGGAGCAGTGGAAATTTTTAGGAATATCCTCAAATATCAACGAGACGAGATTTATTGAAAGTTCAGCGGGTAATGCAAAATAATAACAACCACAACAACAACAGCAACAATAATAATAAGAAATCACAGCTGTAGCAGTGCCTTCACGCCTTGCCATCAATCAAAATCCAAATTAATTTTCTTTTATTTTCACTTTCGTTTTCAATTTTCATTTACATTTTCTTCTGTTCTTTTTTTGTTCTTCTTATGATAACAGCAGGCGTTGATATTCGGCATCAGAAACAATTTTTTTGATTTCTGTGGCTAACAGAAATTTGCATACTTTTATTATTTGCTCGCATATTAAATGATTTCTCAGTTTGCGGCGGCTGCGCCCCAAAAAGTAGGCTACAATATTTTCAAATATTTAGCATATGAATTTTAAAAGCTGAAAAATGCAGCTTTAAAGTTTGTGAGCAGCTTAAAGCGCAGTACAAAGGAGATAAAACATTTTGGTAAGCAGCTTGGGCGAAGCGAGTGCGAAAGAATCAATTTAAACTTCTAGTGAGACAATTTAAAGAGTTTTTACTTTTGGCTATTCGTGAAATTATATAGAGGGTACATTATATTCTAACCAGAAAATATTAATTTTATATAGAATAATTGAGAAACATTTAATTTAATATATAATAATTGAGAGACATTTAAGCCGCCTTGCGAAGATATAAAAAAATGCATTTACGGATGAAGAACACTCAAAGAAATAAATTAGAAAAACGAAAAAAAAATTAAAAAAAAATATATTAAAAACTAATTAAAAAAAATAATAACAATTTAAAGAAAATATGTGACTTAGTAAATAGTTTTAAATACATTAAAAACAATTTAAAAGAAAAGGTATAAAAAACTTGTTGGGAAACAAATATTATATTATAAGATAATAGATTGTCGAATCTAGGTATAGGGATTATAGACAGCCTGAAAGAGTTATTATTTTAGTAAGATTTTTAAAATATAAATTTAATGCATTTATTATTATATTATTATTGTTATATTATATTTATACATATATGAAATATATATAAATTAAATTTACATTATTTATTATATAGCTTCAACAATGGACGATATGGTTTATCAGTGCAGCAATCAAAATTCTATTTACGTACTCAATGCCAGCTACAATCCAGCATTTGGCGTAAGTTTTCTTCATAAAAAATGTTGTAAGGTCGAATTGGTGTGGTCAAGTGTCGATATGTTGCAGAACTTTGGAGCAACAGCAGCAACAGGGCGTGAAATGAATGGCAGCAGCAGCAGCAGCAGCAGCAGCAGGACAACGGGCAACAGGACAAACAATTCAATTGGGGCAAGTTGTTCGAGTGCCGCATGCAGTTTGCAGCATAAATTCAAAAGTTTTGGCACAGCCAACGGCAACGGCAACGGCAACAGTTCGTCAGGAGCAACAGCAACGGCAGCAGCAATAGCAGCGGCAGCAGCACAAGCAGCAGCAACAGCAACAGTTGCTGTTGTCACAGCAACAACAAATCCGGTCGCTACATCAATGTCAACCGCAATGTGTTCACCGGCAACGGCAGCGCTACAGAAATTGTTCAATTGCAATGTGGCTTCCATTGGCGATGCCTGCCAAAATGTCAGCCACAGAAATCAGCAGCAGCAGAACCACAATAACAACAGCAACAACAATTGCCCAGTTGGGAGCCATAACAATGGTTGCCTGTCAGCGACAGGCTTGCATAGATGCCGCTGCGATACGCACGAGGGTGCTGCAGCTGCAACAGCAACAGCAACAACAACAGCTGCAGCAGCAGCAGCATCTGTTGGCGCTGTGGCCAATAGAAAGAAATGCACCAATGTCAAATCAACGCTTATTGCCAAGAAGACAAAGTTTCTGAAATTTCTCGAAGAAGAAAAATGGCGCAGCATCCAGCAGCAGCAGCAGCTGCTGACACCGGATGAGACGGAAGCTTGCGGCACCACACAGCAGCCCAGCAGGTAGGTGCCCTGTGCCCTGTGCCCTTTGCCTTTCACTACTCTGCGGCGAAAACTTATAAATTCTCATAAATGTTATAAGGCATATTGCGGTGCTAAAATTGTGGGCAACTTTTTATGGGGCACAAGTTTATTGGGCCAACGGAATTTGCCGAGTTTTCCCTCTCTATCTCCCTCCCTCACTATCTCTCTCTCTCTCTCTCAGCAAAGTATGCGCGAGCATGACAACAACTTTGTCATTAAGTTTGCCACGCAGATATGAAACTTGGTCCAAGTCCAAGTGAAGGCTATGCTTGCAAGAGCAGCTAAAGAAATCGAAAGTAAAATGATTTATCGAATTGAAAGCTTATCGATAACAGCACTGAAATGGAACGCGATTACAATAGAGAGAGCAAATTAGTTATGAACTATATGAAATATATGATACAATGAATTATTATATTATATATACTTTCGATTAAGCAATATGAAGATAAGCTATCGAATGGAAGCTCATCAATATCTAATTTGAAATGGAAAGTCATTATCGTAGGGTACGAAATATTGACAAGATAGGGACAAAGAGGGAGATATATAGAGAAGAAAACTGAGAAATAATCAATATAAAGATTCCAGAAATATTTTTATTATATGAGTATATATTTTTATAGTGTTGAATAACATAAGTAAACCAAGTGCTTGACACAACATTAACTGAAAGCTGTGTGTTTAAAATAAAGAGCATTAAAGTGTTGTTCAACACTACAAGCTGGCTATATAAGTTTATAGTGTTGAGCAGCACTTGAATGCTATTTCGTAGCGTTGAACAAGACTTAAAGCAGCTGATTGTAAGCACTAAACTAGCACAAAGCTGTCGTGTAAGCTCATAACAAATTCATTTTTATTTTGAGCACCATTTTGTAGTGTTGAAAAATACGAAAAGTGGCTGCTATTCAATATTGAGCGCACGTACTGCACTTTAATCTAATATTTATTGCTCATAAACTCTATTTTAATAGCGAAGTCATCAAATTCCCTATAAATATTAACTTTAAGCGAACGATTTAATATTTATTCGCATTGCGTTTGCCGCAGTAGCTGAGAGCGAGAGAGAGCTAGTGACAGAGAGTGAAAGCAAGTAGATGCTATGGTCATCATCAACACGTCTTGTGCCTTGGGAAAACACATCGCTTATGACAGTTTGTGCCGCAAAAATGAGCACAACTTGGGCGTTAACTTGTTTGCAGCTGAGCTGTCAGTTCACGTGGAGGCCCACTGCCGCCCTTAACGGCTGTTAAACGCATTCAATTAGCTGTTCACGGCCACATCGTGAACTCTAAGCCCAAGCCCCATACAATCTACACCTGCCACGCCCCCTTTTTAGCTGCGCCTCGGCTGTGTTGCATTGTTCATGAAGTCATAAGTTTTGATCACCAGCGCTTAACAGCGAGCAAAACTTTGTGCAGCTGGGTGGACGTGGGGCGGTAGGCGTGGCACCAAGTCCATGCTTTAGTTGGCTCAGCCATTTGTGAAATTGAAAAATTAACGCGCTAACTGAAAGTCGTTGAAGCGCTTAAAATGCCGATACCCTAAACTAAAAGCGAGAAAAGTGCTCCAGCTCGAGGCTCATAAAGTTGATTAAAATGCATGCCGCACACATGTGGCAGCTAGCAAAACTTGCAACAGCACCAACGTCGATATATTGAAGTGCAATAATCATATTTCAATAGCTAACGAGCTGCAGGGGATTGCTGGGCGTGGCAGCCATGAAAAGTTGCCAGCAAAAAAAAAAAAAATAAAAAAGTGACTGAAAAAGTGTGTCAGTCGGGCGTAATTGACTGCCTTATACCCGGTCTCTTTGTTGTTCAAGTGCAACTTTAATATAGAGACAGCCTTGCTTAAAACGTATATACTCTACCCACTTTGCGAACGAGTATAACAAAAAAGGTACAAATAATAAAATGTAAAAATTGCACTTTTCTAGCAGTCAAGCCCGCTGGCGTCTCCTTTACCTTCTCTGCGTTTCGCTCTCCTTCACACAAAAGGCCCAAAAATAAATTTTCCCTAAAGAAATGCCAGCGAGTCCTTGCGTAATAATGATGTCAAAGTGCAAAGCGTTGAATATTTCATTAATTGCAACTGAGTGGAGGAATATCGAGGGCGAGAGTGCGGGCAGCGGGGGCTGTCAGCAAAGTTCCTTTGATTTATTAGCAACTTTAATTAGAACAGAGCCGCTCTGCTGGGAAATGCAGTTGCCGCCTCATTTTCTTACAGTTGATCACAAGAGAAATTTCGCCACGCACATTCATCAAGGCAGAGCAGGGACCTGGCGACAACTCCATCAAGCTGCTTTCAAGTGTGCCCCAAAATAACTTTCTTCATATTTCTTTCTCTCTTTTTTTGTAAAGGAAAAATATTTTACGCAAAGTTTTGTCACTCACTTTTAGAACTATTTTGCATTTTTACGCAGCACCTCGCTGGCCCTCCTTCTCCTTCTCTCTCCGTCTCTATTCCTGATAAGAGGCACTTAGCATTAGGACAGGCAACTCCAATTTATAATATGCTGCAATGCAGTTGGTTTTCTTTTAACTAAATGGACCAGGTGTAACGGGCAGACAGGCTTAAAGTTCCAGCTGTCATGAGCAGCATCTGAGAGTGCTTAATAGCCTGGCAACCCAGAAGATGACCAGGATATGTATACGGCAAAAACTTAAGCTGAACTAAGTGAATTTATGGAATATAAGTGAAATCGATTTGATTAAAAATAAGTTAAATTTTAAATAAATTTAATTTTATAAATATTTTAATATTAATAAAAAAAGTGTATAAATATTAAAGATAAAATTAATAAGTAGAAAGAGAAAGCTTCTAACTTTGAGACAATTTTAAAATTGTCTATAAAACACGTAGAAGAACTTCAAGATACCCTGAAGCCTGAGCACAGGCACAGCTAGAATTCCTACCATTCAGACGAACATGGCTGATCCACAATATATATTTTCTAGGATCTGCTACGCCTCCAGCTGCCTGTTACAAACAGTTTCACAAGCCCATTATACACCCATTTCCCATTTCCAATGAGCAGAAAGAACAGAGATGCATAAAATAATAACTTACAATTCTATTTTACCTTCAATAACGTTCTCTTTTTTTACAAATTTAAAGCTATTTATATATTTTACTCAAGCCAAAAACAGTTTAAGTTCCCTTTGACTGTATTTAAATAGATCGACTTATGGCTGGGCTTAAATTAAATTGCGCTGAAAAGTATGCTACGTTTTATTTCAATTTGCATAGCTCCGTTTCTCGCGTGCCGAGTTTCCCTCTCTCCCTCTCTCTCTCTCTTGGGCTTCCTCATCTGCTACGCTTCCTGTGCTATGCTAGGTTCCTGTTCATTTGTGCATTGGGCGTTTAGTTTAGTCAACCAAAAGCTAAATACAGGACGAGAAAAAACTTTTCATTTCAGGGCCAACAGCAATGAGGCGGAGCTCAACAGCACAGCAACCATGTCGACGTCCACTTCAGCGGCCGCATCATCATCATTTGCGGCTCACTCAGCCAGCAAGGATAACAACAGCAACATGAAAAATCACAACAGCAACAACAACAACAGTCAAACAGGAGCAGAGCAAAATAAATTGAACAATTGGAGCATGCATAATGAGAGCAACAACAAGTTAGCTGAAGCCGAACGGAAGTTGGAGAGTCATAAACAACAACAACAACAACAACAACAGCAGCAGCAGCAGCAATTGACCAACAACAGGTCCTCGAGCTATGAACTGTACCAGGAGGCAGCAGATATACTAGGACTTAGCTGCAGCCTCTGTGATAATTGCCGTTGCTTGGACTGCCAGGTGAGTATTCGAATAGAAGTTTTTTAGTCCAAAGTACTCACTACGCATTTACACAGAGCGGCTATTTCGATTGCGCCGACGATGATGACGAAAGCTACTCGGAGCACTCATTGATGGATGAATACGATGAATACGACTATGGCTATAGCTACGAAGAGCAAATGCTGCTACTAGCTAATGCACATCATCAAGCTGAGCAGCAACAGCAGCTAAAGCTTTGTTATGCCGTCGATTGCCAAGAGAATTGCTGCAGCAAAGTTGAACAGGAGCAGAAGGATGGGGACGATGGGGAGGCGGAGGAATGCAAATCTTCTTCCGAGCATCGTTTGGCTATTGATTTTGATTTAATTAATGCAACCAGCAGCCAAGTACTGGAAAATTGTTCAACATTCAACGATTTAAGCTTATTGGATGCTGAACAGCAAGTGGAGCCATTTACGTAAATTTCAGGTAGGTCTAGACTCTAGCTCTATCTCTTTTATCTCTCTGTATGCCATCTTTTGCATGCCAAAAATACTATAAGCCATAATCCTCTGGCAAGGCAGCAGTGTCTATACAAGCTGCACACAAAATCATGTTTTGGGTTTTCCTTTCTGTCTTGCCTTACCAGGTGTTTAAGCCACATAGCTGTTTTGTAAGCCATTTCATACAATGTTCGTTTCGCAAAGCGCACTTTAAAGCTTTCGAAATAGTTTTCATCAATTTCGTAAAATTTAAATTTCATAACATACTTTTATCCAGCGGCTATGGAAGAACACTCTCATGCACTCGTAGTTTGCATTTGTAATTCGATGCTGGAACTAATTTCGAATAATTTATATGCGCAAAAATGTTTGCATAGCTTAATAAAACCAAATTTATATTTTTTGTAAATTAGTTTGTGTGCGCTAATGAGCTAAAGTTTGCTTTGGCGTATGCAACTGCATGTTCGAGCTCAAATTACATTTACAAGGGGGATAGCTGAAACTATTAATTATAAATAACTATTGCTTTTATCTGTATATAAATCAGCACTTCATATAATTTGTGTTCAGCTAATCTGATCTGATTTTTTGATAGGATGGATAGCCTATTGAGTTCATCATAAGTTTTGCTATACAAAATCAATTAGTTTCACTTTAGTTCAAATTTTGTTTATTAATCTGTCAATTTAAAGTTAATTTTTAAAAAAGTTTTGTTGTTTACTTTTTTATATATTTTTCTATGTATTTTTTTTTTATTACTTTTATATATTCTAATGATAAGAGCATTGTTCCTAGTCTGGAGTAAATTCTTTTTTTTTTTGCTTATATATATTTAAAAGCACAAGCTCAACTCATGAACCTTAATTACACCAATTCAATTAAGTCTTTTGTGAACTAGTTCCTTGTTGCAGTTCATTTAGCAGCAAGCTCAACTGCAGAGTAAACTTTTTTTACATTTCTCAAACTGAATTTGAAGTGCTCAACACAATTTGAAACAATTCACAAAAAATATGCTGCATAATAAAAATTTGCTAAATTTGCTAAATTTGCTAGGGCCAAAAATTCATATACCCCTTAATCAACGCTTTATAGAGTATGCCAACAACAAGAACAATGAGGTTTTTATGCAAAAGTAGCAAATTGCATTTTACACAAAACTAAATGCCTGCTGAGTTGGCAAAGCGCCACTTCTCAGCACGGCCAGCGGCGCTCTATGTGGGCGTGGCAGTGGTGGGCAAACGGGAACCGCAACACTGGCAATGCCAAAAAACCACTTGGCCAACTCAACCAGTTTATTGCTTTTAGCCCAGTTGTGCTTTCTGCTTGTTGTTGTTGTTGCTGTTTTTATTGAGGATTTTTAGCCGATTGTAGTATACGAGACGCAACAAAATTTTTGGCTGCACCCACAGTCCGCAGCATACGAACACCACTCGCCCAGCATCCACCGCCCCCCCTTCCCGACCCCCTTGGGCAAGGTCAGCAAATTTGATTTTACATAGTTCCATGGACAAGTGCCATTTCCATATTTGTGCGGAGCGCCACAAAGCAATATGCAAAAACAATTTTGATGTCCAAGTGCTGCGCTTTTTCCCCAAAATAAAAATACAAAAAAAAAAAAACGAATATCGTAAAAGCCATTTTCAAATTTATAATTTAATTGAGAGCAGCAAAATCAGTGAAATTGCATAGTGCACTAGCCAAATGAATATTTTAACAAAGCTTAAAATCCACAGCAACAAAAAAACTATAATCAAATAAATTTTCAATCAAGCTGCAACAGACGAGCTTTAGATGAATCCATTTGGAGCAGCAGAGTCAAATTATTTGGAATTGCAATCAAGTTGATGAGGTCATTTCTGTGTGCGCTTAGTTGTGCAGCAATTTAATCAGCTTTAAGCTCTAAAGAGCTTTTGGCATGCGTTCTTTACTCATTTTAGCCGGATTTATATTTCGATTAATCAATCAATTTTGGGTCATACATAAAAGAAATAGGAGTTCAAATTCCTAGAATTTGGAATATGTTTTCATAACAGAATACACAAAACACAATATTTTGTCGTAGAATGTTAAAAGTTTGTCGAAATCGATTTCTAATATAAGCTAACGCAGTTTAAGCTCCTTTTTTGTGATCTTAGTTTAAATAGAAATAGAAATTCAAAATTCAAAATACTTTCAAAGACACTTTAAGCCATATTTATTTATGGAAAAAGAAATAAAATAGGTAAGAGATATGCATTTTATATTTATTTGCTGCACTTTGCTGCAGCACAATGAACTAAAAGCTTGAAGTAGAGAAGAAAACTGAAGAAGGAAAGAGAAAAAATCTTAGCTATGAAAAATTCATTGCAATTCTCTCACAATGGCAAACGGCAAAAAGCAAATGGCTAAAAGCAAATGGCGAATGCCTTAAACTTAAATCGAATTACATTTAGCAAATGAAATTTCAAGCGTTCAAGCGCGCCGAAATCCTCGCCAGTGAAAAATGGCCTCAACAAGAGGCGCAATAAATAGAACGTTGTGAACGTTAAGCCCATTTAAGCCAAAAGAAAAGGGCGACGCTTCACACTGTGCATGAGAGTGCGTACACATGTGTGTGAGTGTGTGTGTGTGTCTCAGTTGGCTGGAGCGTGTGTGTTTGTGTGCCTTACCCAACCCACTCAACCAACAAAATGCCTCTGCGAAGTGCATTTGCTGTTGTTTAAACCAACAAGCGCAGCTGGCAAACCTATTACATTTTTTGGACTTGGCCGGCTGCCAGACATTGGGCAAAGACAATGCATTTTGGCTAGTGAAAAAAATGCACTTGCACACATAGGAGAAGAATGTAATAACAAATTTTTTGTTGTCTTTTAATTTATACGTGCTTAAAGTAAATGTCCCGAAAAAATTCCCCTCTCTCTCTCTCTCTCATTTGGGCATTTCTAACCTAAGGAAAGAATGCAATCGCGATCAGTCGTTCGACCTGTAAAGACGTGAATTCGAACAGCCTTCGCTTAAGCTCTACTGCTGCAGAGTTCTAAAAATAGAACTTTGCGGTGCATTCTTCAACGCAACAGCAACAAAAACCGCACACGCAGCGTTTTCTTATCGCTTGCTTCCGCGTAACTCAATTGCTTTAATTGCAATTTACGAAATTTCGTCGCTTGGCGCGAGTGCGCCTGCACTCAAAAGCACAATCCGCGATGACATCTAATGTCAATAACCTCGCTACAGCTGTAAAGGTAAATGCAGAAATGCAAGCCCAGCTTAACGTTGTGATGGCAAATAGGCAAGCCTCCATCATGCCAATAAACTCAAAAATAGATATCGCCTCCGTGCAAGGCATCACTAACAACAAAAACACGAAACGTAAACAGCCAAATTCACCAAAAACCATCAAGAAAAGGCTCATCTTCGACGAACCAAGCACCAGCAATGCAGCATTAATATCAGAAAATCGATTTTCACTGCTCGTAGAAGAAGATGAAGACTACAGCGAATCACCTGTAGCTCCAGAAGCCCCAGTATTGACCGACCAGCAAACTACACCGAAACCTCGTCCGCCCCCCATATGGTGTCCAAACATCAAGTCTGTGGCCCTACTTCAACAGATAATAGATAAAGTAATTGATGCTAAATCATACGTAATTAAGCCAAAGAAGAATAACATAGGTGTATTAACCCAATGCAGTGAGGACTATCGCAGAGTTATAGACCACTTTACTAAGCTGGAATTGGAGTTCCACTGCTACCAGCTTAAGGAGGACAAACCATATAGAGTCGTGTTCAAAGGGCTTCACTCCAGCACTGATACAACACTAATTAAAAAGGAATTGGAAACCAAAGGCCACACAATTACAAATGTGCACAACCCACTGAGCCGTATGGACAAAACACCGCTAAATATATTTTTTGTTGACGTGGCTCAGGCCCCCAACAACAAAGAAATTTTGGACATTCGAGTTGTCTGCAGGCAACGCTGCACAGTGGAACTGCCAAGAAGATACAACGACCTGACACAATGCCATCGCTGTCAAGAATTTGGACACACACAACGCTACTGCCACAAAGCTCCCAGATGTGTGCGTTGCGCCGGGAAACACGCATCCAAAGACTGCACCCGCGAAAAGGACCAGGCACCAACTTGTGTGCACTGTGAGTTACAGCACCCAGCCAACTATAAGGGCTGCCAAGTATACAAGCGGTTGCGCAAATTGCAATCCCCAGCACAAAAAAGGAGTCCCACACAAACACCGTCTACGGGTCCGAGTACTGCTTCCGAAATTACAAGGCCCCGGAGCATTACCCAAGCCACGAGCTTTGCAACGCCTATTAGTGGTGTTTCTTACGCACAGGCCGCTAGAGGTGGACCGTCAAATAAGAATACCACAAGTGACACTTTGTTCACTGAAATGCTTCAGCAACAACAACGTCAGTTTGACGCAATTAATGCCGAGCTCAAAGCGATGCGAGAAGTACAATCCCAACAAGCAACCATGCTAAACAGTTTAATGGCCATCATAACCAAGCTTGCCTACAAATAATGGCTTTACGTGTGGGTATCTGGAACGCCAATGGCCTGAGAAACAAGACTCAGGAACTGGCTGCGTTTCTCTCACAAGAAAACATAGATATAATGTTAATAACAGAAACTCATGAGTGCCCCACTACACAAATTTTCGGATACGAACACTATCAGGCTCATGGTGAAGGAGCAAACTGCTTTGGTGGATCCTCAATCCTCATACGAGCAACAATACCGCATACACCTTTACTGCCAATTTGCAACGCAACAATGCAGGTCTCAGCCATCACCCTGCCTACGTCTATTGGAGCGATCGAAGTTGCGTCAATTTATCTTCCGCCAAACACTGGTCTGTGTGATCATCACATGGAACAGGTTCTAGGCCAAAGGTTGAATAAGACCCTCATCGGCGGCGACTGGAATGGATGGCACCCATTTTGGGGAAGCAATAGTGCGAATCGTCGCGGAGAAGTCATATTTGA